CCCCCCCCCCCCCCCCCCCCCGCCACCCAAAACCACCCACCATCCTCCACCCACTCTCTGTCATTTTGATTCCCAACAGCAAAAATCGATTAGCGGAAAAAGAGGTGGGAGACAAGATTAGAGCTTACGAGGCTGAAAGGTTGGAATTTTTTAGGGTGGGTTAAAAAAAACAAAAGTGTGTGGGGGGGGGGGGGGGGGGGAGTGGGCGGAGCCAGGCCTGAGTTATCACTGTGTGCTTGATAAACGAGGCAGAGGGGAGATGTAAGACGGAGAATGGTGCGATCAATTTCAAATCTATCCCAACTCCTTCCCATCTTTGCTCCCGCTCCTCCCCCAACCACCTCCCCCCGCTCCCAGAACTCCCTGCCGGTCTGCTCAACTAACCCTCCCCCCTTCACTTCTCCTCCTTCTTGACCTCTTCCTTCTTCTCCTCCTCTTTCTCCTCCTTCTTGGGCTCCTCTTTCTTCTTGTCGTCCTTCTTCTCCTCCTTCTTGCCATCGTCCTTCTTCTTGTCCTCTTTCTTCTTGTCCTCCTTCTTCTTGTCCTCCTTCTTATCCTCCTTCTTGGCCTCCTTCTTGGCCTCCTCCTTCTTCTCCTCCTCGGGCATGGGCTCCGTGGTGAGGACCACCTTGCCGATGTTGTTCCTCTCCTGCATTTTCCTCATGGCGTCGCTGACCTGGTGGACACAGAGAGACAAATGAAAGAGTGGAAAAGAGAGAGAGAGGAGGCGCAGAGGAGCTTTGAAAGGAATCTGTCATTGAGAAATATTGACATACAGTTTGAGGAGGAGGAGGAGGAGAAGCTTTCGCGCCACCGACACAAATCAACAGTTGCATCTTCGTTGCAGCTTACATCTTTCAGGCTTCCTTACAAACGCTTCTTCAACGAGGCGTCGATGAGACATAACTTATTCTTTTTATTTGCCAGGTTCCGTTAAAAACACGATAGAAGGCATGAAATAACTTCTACGTGAAGATGTGCTCGAGTTTCTGTTTTCTGTTAGAGGCACTAATAAACGTAGGAGTCGCAGATTTCCAGGAAACAGAACGATGAAGGCTGCTGCAGTTTCAAAAGCCCCCTTTATTCTCGTTTTAAGCTTTATTCTTTTATTTTAATGGTCTACTGTATAGCTTCTAGTTGCTTTGCAAAAAGTGAACCTCATTCTGTGACTGCTGCAGAACCCTTGGTCCCTTTCTTTATCACCTGCTTTGTTTAATACTCGCATTTCTAAATTGCACGTCTTTATGTGTAAAACTACTTGAGTAAAGTCTTTTAAACGGCACCACTGGAAATATTTCTGGATAAACTCTTCAACCTTAGATCTCACACTTTTTAATGTGTACCTTTACATCTGTAGCTATATTTTGCAGACCATTTGTCTATAAAATAAATAAATAGTCCAATTGTTGGTCAAACCTCAGATCCAGGAGAAACAATGCGGGTTTCGTACTGACGTGGAACACTGGACCAGCTCTTTACCCTCACTAGGGTCCTTGAGGGGTCATGGGAGTTTGCCCATCCAGTCTACATGTGTTTTGTGGACATGGCGAAGGCGTCCGACTGTGTTCGTCGGAGTACACTGTGGGGGGTGCCCCGTGAGTTTGGGGGATGTTGCTACAGGCTGTTCAGTCTCTATACAAGCCGTGCAAGAGTTTGGTTCTCATTGCCGGCAGTAAGTCGGACCCCTTCAGGGTGGGCGTTGAACTCCGCCAGGGCTGCCCGTTGTCACAGATTCTGTTCATAACTTTTATGGACAGAACTTCTCGGTGCAGCCAGGGGGTGGAGAGAGTCCAGTTCGGTGGCCTCAGGATTCATCTCTGCTCTTTGCAGATGACGTGGTCCTGTTGGCGTCATTGTACCGTGATCTCCAGCTCTCACTGGAGCAGTTCGCAGCCGACTGTGAAGCGACTGGGATGAGAATCAGCACCTCCAAATCTGAGGCTGTGGTCCTCAGTCAGAAAAGGGTGGATTGTTCTCTTCGGGTCGAGGGTGAGGTTCTGCCTCGAGTGGAGGAGTTCAAGTATCTCAGGGTTTTGTTCATGAGTGAGGGAAGAATGGCGCGTGAGATTGACAGAAGGATTGGTGCAGCGTCTGCAGTATTGCGGACTCTGTACTGGTCTGTTGTGGTGAAGAACGAGCTGAGCTGTAAGGCTCTGATTACCGGTCGGTCTACGTTCCTCCCCTCACCTCTGGTCACGAGCTCTGGGTAGTGACTGAAAGAATGAGATTGCGGATACAGGCGGTTGAAATGAGTTTCCTCTGCAGGGTAGCTGGACTCTCCCTTAGAGACAGGGTGAGAAGTTCAGTTATCAGGAGAGACTCAGAGTAGAACCACTGCTCCTCCACATCGAGAGGAGTCAATTGAGGTGGTTTGGGCATCTGGTAAGGATGCTCCCTGCGTGTCTCCCTAGGGAGGTGCTTCGGGCATGTCCAACTGCGAGGAGACCCCGGGAAAGACCCAGGACATGCTGGAGAGACTATGTCTCTCGGTTGGTCTGGGAACTCCTCGGAGTCCTCCCAGAAGAGCTGGAAGAGGTGGCTGTGGAGGGAGATGTCTGGGTCTCCCTACTCAAGCTGCAGCCTCCACGACCCGACTTCGGAACAAACGGACGATAATTGATGGATGGATGGATGGATAATGCTTGATTGGCTTTAAATTGTTTAACATTTGTTGTACCAGGCTTAAAAAGGTCAAAGGGCAGAAGTGCTGGAAAAAAGGCACAAACGTTAATCAAGCCAGTCTCTCCGATAAGCACAACCTTATTTTTTAGTTCAAATTGTAGAAACTTGAGATTTATCACTGTCTGCCTAATTTCAAACTCCCTTCCAACATACCCCAAAACCGCTTCCCCAGCCCCCCCACATAAACTGACCCAGATCCTCTCCATCAAAATGACAAGTGAGAGATCTCAGCCAAGATCTGCCCCACCCTCTTCTTGACCACAGAGCTCTGTCCACCCTGTCTGTTCCTGTCTCTGTCTCGTCCCCCCCCCCATCCCCGATTGTGCAAGGCAGGCAGACCACCTAACGACCAATGCCACGGCAACAGGGCCATCTCCTAGCAACGTAAAGCCCGGCTGAAACGTGGCTCTGACGACTCCGGCACATGGGAAAGAGGGGAGAGTGTGGGAGCTTGAAGCGAAGGGGTCGGAGAGGAGGGGATGCAAGGGAGCAACTGGTTTCCCTCGAACGAAAAGGGGGAGGCAGGGGAGGGAAGTTCAGGAATTATGAGAATCATCTTCAACGTGAATGAAAAATCCAAACGAGAGCGGCTCTTTTGTCTGCTCTCTCAGCTCTCAGGCTCACAGTTCGGAGAGACTGGCGCCGTTTATTATCCTCTCGGGGTGTCTGTGCAGATGCGCTTAACGGTTCTGCTGGAAGAAAAGATCACCCTAATTTCCAAACAATGTTCAAGCAGGTTTATTGATTTCATGAGCAAATCAAAAACCGATGGGAGCAGGAGGAGGAGGTGATGATTAAGGTCAAGGTGTGGAATTTATACTCCGCTTGGAATCCATCGCTCTTTGTGGTCTGACCACAAGCACCAGCAGCAGGGTTTAGACACCAACCCATCTCTTTACACCCTAAACGGCTCAAAAGACCGCCTGACATCCACTTTCATCACTCGTCGGTGTCTCCACACTCCTTCCACTTCTCGTTTCTCATACATCGGGGCCCCTCCCTGAAACAGACGCATACGCTGACTAAAGGATGTCACCATAGCAACAAGGGAGAAAGAGCAAAAAGATAGTGTGAGCAGAGAAGACAATAAAGCCCAATGGAGAGAGAGAAAGAGAGGGAGTCAATAACCTAAAGATGGCAGGAAAAAAGAATGATGTAAAGAGCGGACAGATGGAGAAGCAGAGAAAGAGCGTCAGATGGTGGAGGAAGACAGCGGGTGTTTCTCTCCGGCCAAAGTACTGACCGGCTCCGACTCCAACAACAGAAGATGTCAGCTCCTGACACTCCCTTTTTATCCGCCTTCCCCTTCTCTATTCACATCTTTTCGCAGTGGGGATTTTGTCAGCGACAATCTGAGTCTGTGGACCCGAGCGAGTTAACCGACGCGAGAGCTTGTCGTGGACAAACTTCCCTTGTTGAATGTGAGCACTGGAGGGCCACGCCCAGCTGCCGCGAGCACAGACACAAAACCACCTGCTGGCCACATGCGCTCTGGGTGTAAATTAACAATATAAACATGTATGTAGTCACGGCATGACTGCAGGGATGGATTCAGTCAGATTTACATCCAAACACAGAGGCTCTTTGTGGAAATTTACTTTCAATCACATATTGAGTTTGTTAAAATAAAAAAAGCTGTTCATATGTCAACGAAAACGACATATGACATAAGCTAATGAACGAAGAGATAAGCTAAGCCATCTTACGCAACCCGTCTCAAATTCTCATTAGTCACAGATCACCGTGTCTCTGTTTAAATCGTCCAGTAAAGAACATTTGGCAAATTAATTATTAAAGTTACCATGAACAGGTGAACAGAGAGCCACTTAACATTTAATATGTCTAACAACCTGTACAAAAAAAGTCTGCGAAGGTTGTCCCTGTTTTGCTAAAAGTCTAGTCTGCTCATAGTGATCTGCTACAAATGTGCTTATTAGCCAAAATCAAATATTAATCATCAATAAGTACAAAACTTAATTCAACGGTTGATAAAAAAAAAAACCAACCTAAAAATCTATTGTTTTCCGATATAAAATGATCTTAGTTTAAAAGTTTGGCACAAAAGGCCGTGATTTTTTCAGTATGGCAAAAAGTTCAAGTGTTACAGCAGTTTGGTTTCTTATTAGCCGACAGAACTTGATTGTTCTAAACGTACTGTAAACGGGGAACCAGACCAACACCAACCTGCTCCAGATGCCATGTGGAGTCGATGCAGGGTTTGATTTTGCCCTCCTTGTACAAATCCAGGATGGTGTTCATGGCCTGGGTGATGAGCTCCGTCTCCCCGTCCAGGTAACCGAGGTGAAATCCGCACACCGACTTGTTCCCCTGGATCAGGCTGAGCGTGTGGATGGAGAACTGGTGGTACCAGTTCTTAGCCACGGCGATGAGGTTCTTCCTCTGACCAGCTAGCATGTTGGCTGCACCTGAAGGGACGTTTCAGAAACACAAAGACTCTATCTTTACTCTCTTTACTTTGTTTTATGTATTAGTGTTTCTTTGTCTCTGTAGATGGTTTTGTTTGAAGATGATGCCAAGTTTTTAGTAATTTATCAAACTCAGAATCTGAAGATATTGGAAAGGTTATTTTACAGTTATTGGGCTTGTTCTAAAGGTTTTGTTTACGAGACACCTCAAGCAAGGACTCAGACTAGGAGTGCACCGATTGCAGTTTTCTGGCCGATCACCGATAACCTATCTCTAAAAAGTCTGACCTGCTGATTCTGATTTTGGCCGATACCGATTTTGTTTCATAAGCGACACTGTCAGGTGTTATAAGGTCACAATGCACATTCAATTTTCCAATCTTGTTTTATTGAAAAACATACCCTTGAACAATATCCTAGAAACAATACAAACTTGTTTTAACTGACCATGAGGTAGTGCTCTGAAATATAAATGAAGTTCAGACAATTGTTGTTAAAACTACAAAAAAATCGGTAAAATCATTTTCTAAAATTGGTATCGGCCGATCGATAAATCGTCCGATACCGATTTATCAGTGCACCCCTAACTCAGACGTCTTCTGTCTGTCTCAGCCTGATTTCTTAATGTACTGAGGCAGTGAGGTGCGTCAAAACCAACCCACATAGCACCATTTTCTAGTGCCTTTGCGCCAGAAAGTGAAGTAGCAACAGAGCCAAAACGGTCGACGTGTAACGGTAAACCGATGCTGCGGCTCAGTAATGTGATTACGTGCTGACATCTGATAGGTGTGACCAACCGGTCGTAGGATTCAACGACAAACTAGAGATGTGCAATATGGCATAAAATTCATATCACGATATGTATTGTGATGGGTGGCGGTAACGATATATATCACAATATGTTTTTAGTATAAAACTTGCACTAGGAATGAAAAAAGCAAAAGGTGTCCTTTTGCCAGCATTTATTTTGAAAACTGCTATACCACAAAATAATCTCAATTAATACAATTCCACTACTAGGTCCAGAGAGTTTTTAAATAATTAACAAATCAAGTATTAGGCTTCTTTCTTGTAGTGCAAAACTGTGCAAAATATATTAAATGTAGTTTTAGCCATATGTTTTAAACAAAATAATATGTTGTTAACTCTTAACAGTTTCCAGTCTTCTCACTTAAGAAATGAACTGCAACAGAGCAGCATTTTATACTGAAAACAATTCACCCTCCAACCCTCCAGTGGGCGTCTCCTTCCGCTTTAAGGAGTACTGACACAAAATGGCGACCAGTTTCCTCTGTGGCTTTGACCAGAGGGTCTCGCAGTAAAATCGCACAACACAGCGTTCTTTTCACAGATCAGAGAGCAGGTTTAACCCTTTTGTTTTTCTCAAATGCACTCTCTAAAGCTGACCAACAAACTTTCGACGAAAAAACCTTTCAACGGAACACAGCGTTTTGCGCATGCGTCCGAATACGAGTACGGCAAGCCAGCCGTAGTTAGCTTGTAGCTTTGCTACTTAGCTCTCGAAGAGAGGACTTTAACACCACTTACGCACAGTTTTCAACAACAAAAAAAGTAACGGTTAAAGCTGACAACTCTGATTTTACATCAGACACAGCATTACTGCGGTTAGCTGGTAGAAGACAAAGCTCTTTCGTAGGCTAAATGTCTATCGTTTCTACCATGTACCGTAAATATCACGCATTCCTACAACAAACTGATTTATTACTGAGGGAAGATTGATGATGGCCCACGGTATCTGTATTTAGTTAAAAGAGACTTAGTTAAACACAAAGAGATTCAACAAAACTTGAGTTAATTCATCAAGTTTTGAGAATAGGAGGGAAACGTCGGCCATTACGTGTGTGCCCTCCATGTGCGCTCCATGTCAACACAGCTGAGTTCTGCTCCATGCTTCTTTTGTTCCCACGCTGCTCGCTTCATTTCTGTAAGCTCACAACTGTGCTCCTCGGCTCCATCAGTGATTTTTGATCGACCAGAGGTCGCCTTAAGCGGGCTGGTCTGTGCGGTCATTTTTTGTATCGGTTATATTAAAAAGCCAGGAGAGCCAGGCATGAAAGTCTGCGGTTGAGATGCATTCTTCCAAGGAACGCTAGGCCTGATTTCAGTATAGGCCTAGAATTTCAGAAACAGCCTCATGGCTCACTGGTTACTTGGTTGCAAACACTCTGAATCCAAATTTGCATATTTTCTCTCAATTTTGCGTCACCGACTCGTCTCCAACAGCCGCAGCCCAGCGAGACCTCCGTAAGTCGTGTGAAGCACCTCTGCTCATTAGCTCCCGTCTTTTGTTCCACCTCTGTCTTCCTGTAGCTTCACACTCTTACAACCCTTTTTAGCACTTCAGCGGTCACTGTCACCACCTCCTCCTCCAATCCCCTTCCTTACATGGCTCACTTAGCTGTCTGTGCTCTTTCTTGAGGGAAACGGGGGGACACAAAGCAAGTTCTCAGAGAACAGAGACCCGGCCGGCTACATTCACACACATTCCAGGTTTCGTGTGGATAGAGCGCCTCATTGTTCCAGCATGCCTACTTCTGATAAACTGGAAGAGAAGCAGCCAGCTTAGCGAGAGACCAGAGAGGTTGAATGGGTGAGGGTGGAGGGCACCATGCTGGGTAGAAGGTTTCTGAGCAACACGCTAAAGGCAAGGCCCTGTTCTTCATGGATGCCGACCCCGCCCACCGCATGTATTCGAATGTGCATTGTAGCAGAAGGAGCGTAGCGGGCTTCCCACGGATGACACACAGCACACTGAGGACATGGGCCTCCACAGAGGGACCACTGTGCCCACCAGAAAGCAGCTTTTACTCCACGGCAAGACCCACAACTATTCATTTACAACTTCTGCATCTCAAAATTCTCACGAGTTTTATTGTTTTCCGTTGCAACTATTAATAATTCAAAATGTAATACAGTACTTTGAAGGAGATTTACAAGCATGTAAGGAATTTTGTCTAAATTTCAAAATGTAGCCGACGTGTTCCAGGAAAGAATGCCTCGTTTGCGAACAGCTTCCTCTAAATACTGGGATATTTTGCATTAACATCCAACCTGAACAATCAGATACAGGTGGAAACGGCCTGAATGTGTCACCCCTTTTATTCATAGTTTGGTAATCTGAACTAATCCATCCAGAGCTAAGACGAAGGACGGCCTACTGAACTGAGGTAATCCCACAAAACGAGAAGAATTATTTCTTTTTTTGAGATACAGCTTTGGCTGAAAGTTTTATTGAACTTTTATCTGAATCCATTTCAATAAAAATGTCTGTTTTGTTGGGATTTTATTAATTAGAGTGGATAGTGGGCTAAATGTAGCAGCTGCTGCATCTTCATTGGCAGGTAACTTGTTTCATGTTTTAATTTTAGCAATGAGCAGTTAAAAAAAGTGGAAAATATGAAAATAAAATCTAAAATTCAAGCTTTGTTGTGTGCTACAAAGTACCGACGGTCTGATTTGTGTTTCCTTACCATAAGTGATGAGTTTCCCCATAGGCTTCAGCAGATTGTAGGCCTTGTGGGTGTCCGATCCTCCGAGAGGGTCCAGTATGATGTCCAACCCTGCAGCAGAGGACAGAAGTGGACGGACATATCAGCGCTGTGAATTCAAAGAGAAGGAGCCGAAATCTCATCAGAGGGTCGCTCTGCATGCCAGAGTTCACCGGGTCGAGCGAGTGCAGCCCAGCTACGCAAAGTGGAACGGATACAGGAGGCTTGGAGGTTTTGTATTTTTGTCTTTAAGCTAGTGTGACGCTACTAATTAGCCTTTTCTACTTTTTTAGTTAGCATTTAGCTACTTTTGCCTTTTAGCTAGCATTTGTTGATTTTAGCTTTTAGCTAGTGTTTTGCTACATTTGCCTTTTAGCTAGCATTTGTTTATTTTAGCTTTTAGCTAGTGTT